TCGCAAAAAAAAATGTTCTCTACTCTCACCTGATCTAACACTAATTAATTCACATATTGAGACTATCGCTTGGTGTTTTATTCAAATTTGTATCAATATTTGTATCAATTTTCAATATTTCTATCATTTCCTGTAGTTTCAACGTCACTTACACACATTCACACACAAAACAGCGTATACTAACTCCCAAAAATAGAAAATTTTTCAAAGTGAGTTTTTTTTTATGAAAAATTACGTCTGCAGAGTTTATTGTCAGTAGCAGCAACTGTTTAATGTCACAATGGAAGTTTTCCATGTTTATTTTTCTTTTTTTGTTTCTTTATATTTTCTGGCTGTTTAGCTAATTGCATTTTGCTGTTTATATTTTTATCTTTATTAGCATCGTTAAATTAATGGAGTTTTAACAATTTTTAAATTTCTATTTATATTTTTTTTTGCTTGCCAGAGTCAAAAATTTTCGGCGGAACAACTCGAAGGTTGGTGGGTTTGTTTGTTTGTAGTGGCTGTTGTTTGTTTGTATGTTTGTTTGTATGTTTGTATGTTTGTATGTTTGTTTGTTTGTATGTTTGTTTGTATGCTTGTTTGCTTGTTGTTCGTTCGTTTGTATCATTGTTTGATTGTTATATATTTTATGTTTCTTTTTCCTTTTCATGTTTGTTCGATTGATGTGTATGTGCTTTTGTATATGTGTCTGTAAAGTGTGCATGTAGTAAATTTGCTCTGGGTTTTATATAAATGTTTGTATGGTGAAAATTTTTTCGTATTCTTGTTTGATGCAAATGTTGGTATAATTTTGATTTATTTCTGTGATTGCGTATTTCATGTATTGATCTTTTTATCTTTTTTTTTCTCCCTTGTCTTCAGAATTTGCATTTATATTCATAAATGTCTTTCAGTTTGTATTAATAATGGTACGTTAGTGTGTGTGTGTGTGTGTGTGTGTGTGTGTGTGTGTGTGTGTGTGTGTGTGTGTGTGTGTGTGTGGTTGGTTGGTTGGTTAAGGTGGTCGTCTGGTAGTCTAAATGCTAATTTATATCAATATATATATGAGTTTATCTGGGCTCATGTTTGTAAGTATTTATAAACCTGTGTATGTTTCTCTCTTTTTCTCTCTCTCCCTCTCTCTCTTTATTTTTCTTTCTTTAGAAAAAATAGATAAGAAGAAATGGAATAATTGCATTGGCGAGTTACTGAAAGCAGCCGCTGCATATATATCATACTCCTCTTCTTAAGTAGCCTGTAATATTTTTCAAAACTTTTAAAATTCAAGTTTAAAAAATAATTCCAAGTAAGTATAAGCCAGGCACGTGTGTGTCTCTGCATGTGTGTGTGTGTTGTGTGTGTGTGTGGTGTGTGTGTGTGTGTATACGTTTATAAATTATCCATGTTTTAACGTGGAATAATGGATATATAATAGAACCTTGCCTATATTTAGATTAATTGCCTACAATATTTACCTAAATAGAGCAATGTATTTTTGACGTGCATGATGCTTCTTCACCTTCTCCACGCAAATGTTTGTAGTGTATTTTGGGTGATTTGTTGCGGGATGTTTATGTATTTATCCGCTAATACACGCATAAGAATACGCACATACTAATATGCTGATACTATTATAATACGCACTTTATTACACTTCACACACACACACACACACACACACACACTCACACACACACAAATACACATTACACAATATACAATACTCTATACACGTATATACACAAATGATAATAACTCCATAAAAGGTCTATTAAAAGTTTCGCGCCATGTTTCTATGCGTTCCCATATTGTTTCTGCTGCAGTTGTTAACGTGGTTGAAATAAGTATCGTATGATGAAATATGAAGCGATGATGTTATGGTGGTCTGTTTTGTGGTGATGATGCTGAAGATGATGAAGATGACGATGATGACGATGATGATGATGGCGGTAGTGATGATGAGGATGATGATGATGAGGACAATGACAATTGTGATGATGATAATGGTGATGATGATAATGATAATGTTGATGACGATGATGAGATGATGATGACGATTGTGATGGAGTTTATGATACTAAGTTTGATGACAACGATAGTGATGTTGATAACGGTAATGAATATGATAATATTGGTGATGATATTGATGATCTGGATGTTAATGGTGATGATGGTTGAGGATGGATATATTGGCCATTTATTTTAAATAATAAAATATCTGTGATAATAAAAAAGACATGTTAATAATGTTGTCAATGATAAATGTTGATGCTAAAAGAAATATGGTAGGAAAGAGATGATGGAAAAATGATGATGAATATATATATATACATCTATGTACACATATATGCATACATCTTTGTTAAAGAATGATGATGGAAGAATGATGATGAAGAAATGATGGTGATAACTTGATAATGATTACAAGAATGAAAAGTGTTAATGATGTTTCTAATGGGCTTGATTTATGAGAAAGTGAAGATGTAGAAAGAGGGTGATGTGCAGCAACGGTGACGATGATTGTGATGATGGTGATGGTGATGATGGTGATGATGGTGATGATGGCGATGATGATGATGAATATGGTGATGATGATGAGGAGAAGGAGAATGATGACGATGATTGATGATGGTGATAATGAGAACAATCGTGATGATAAATTTGTCATGGCGTTTTAATATTTCAAAAAAGATGACAACAATGAAAATATTTCTATATGATAACATTGATAAATGTTATTTTTTCAGCATAATGTTCTTCATTTATTCATCTTCTCTATTTTGTTTCCATCTGTCATTCTATATTTAACTCTTTTTTGCATTTTTTTTTCATTCAGTTTTATTATTTTTTTCAATTTCATTGTTTGGTCATTTTCCTTCTCTCTTTCCCAATTTTATTTACTGTCACATTTTTTTTATTTTGCTTATTCTCGATTCACTGTTGGAGTTTTTTTCCAACATTCTTAGTTTTTCAAGTACAAATATACACATACACGTTTGTTTGCACACAAAAAAACCAAAAAAAAGCACAAACAAGCACACACTGTTAACAAACAACACGACACACACACAAACAAACAAACACACACACGCGCGCACACACACATGCACATAATATATGTCAAACACTCTTCCGTCTAAGCTAAATACACGGTAGATAAAAAAAAATCTATCCATCTAACAATGCAAGGCGACAGCTTGTATGCATCCATAGGTAAGGTAAGAAGGTAGCCAGCTTTAATGTGTGCATCTTTTGTATGTCTGTTTGTTATGTTTGTGTGTATGTCTGTTTGTATGTTCGTATGTTTATATGTTTGTTTGTATGTATGTTAGTATTTTTGTTTGTATGATTGATTGCAGTGTGGTCTGCTTGAGGGTTTGTATATTTAGTTTTATTACTGCCTCTAGGTGCGACTGTTGAATGTTTGCATTTGTATGCTGCATGCATGTCTATGTCTATGTTGCATGCATGTCTATGTTTGTTTGTGATGGGTATGATGTACCTCTTTACGTGTTTGTGTGTAAAACTGAGCAGTTATAAGCATTGTGTGAACGTATCTATGTTTCTGGCAAGATTGCTACGTCTGTGTGATTTTTATTACGCAGCTGTTATAATGTGGCGTGTAGTTAAGTGTAAGCAGTTTTGATTTATTTTTAATTCTAGTTAATATTCAATTATTTTAAACTATCAAATTAGAAATTTTAGCGTAGTACAAATTTTTCAAATAACTTTCTGCCATATATAATTTAATATTTTGCTTCCACAAACAAACGAACGAACGAACAAACATCACGATACATGCATGTGTTTGTTTGTTTTGTGTTGTACACGCATGCATGCATGCGTGTACCAATGCACTGGTGAATACGCACCGCAATCAATCATATTGACGGAGACATTTCAGCGCGCAATCTTAATCACGCTGATGAGCTGTCTTGCGATGTCCGGTCAATGAACATTCGTTCGTCCATTCGTGATTGCATACGCAGTACCGATCTCTTACATTCATGACCTTGACATCTTAAAATTATTTTAAAAAGATATTCCTAAATACATTCACATTAATCACATTTGTTAAATTTATGGTTCATTGTTTGACAATGAATGTTATTTATATGCATTCCTTTCAAGACCATATTTTTTTAATGTAAATTTTTGAGCTTTTATTGAGTCATTATATTGCCATTATGTTTATGTAGAATCTTCATAGGTATGCAATATTTCTCTCAGCGTTTATTGCGTCAGTATATCAATTACTACTACTACTACCATTGTTACAAATATTATTACCATCACTAATGATAATAAATTAATTGTACAACCTTTAACGCATCAACTACATTTAAGATTACTACTGACACTCCTATTACTATTACTACTGCGGCTACTGTTGCTGCTGTCGCTACTACTACTATTACTACTATTACTTTTACTATGATACTCGGGCTACCACTACTACTACTGCTGCTGCTGTCGCTACTACTACTACTACTACTATTACTTTTACTATGATACTCGGGCAACTGTTACTACAATGATCGCTCTCAATGTTGTCCAATCTATGACAATAAAAATATCATTCGAACGATCAATGCCTAGTGTTGCTGGCGATGCACAGATGTCCCCATGTCAACGGTGATGACGACGACGATGACGATGATGACGATGAAAACTATGACGATGATGAGGATGTTGATGACGATGATGATGACGATGATGACGACTATAATGACGATAGTGATGCAGACGACGATGAGGATGTTGATGATGATGACACGATGACGACTATAATGATGCAGGGTAATATTATTCAGTCAGTCGTAATATTTTTGATACAATCCACATTATTACTTCAGCCCAGCCTTAAGAATATGTTCATAAATTTAACAATACCATTCAAACATTATTTGTAAAATCACACGCACACACACACACACACACACAATGAATTTGCACATTTCAAACACCCCAACCCATTCCCACATTTCAAACATCCCATCCTTGCCCCAAACTTCACAGAGTACAGGGCGGCCTTCGACCTATTTGACGAAGATGGCAACAACGCCATCAGTAAAGAGGAGCTGGGCAACGTGATGAGAAAGTTGGGTATGAACCCCACTGACGAAGAACTGAGAGATATGATCAGGGAACATGATACCGATGGTGAGTGAGTTAGTGAGTTAGTGAGTGAGTGGGTGAGTGAGTGAGTGAGTGAGTGAAGAATGAAGAATGAATAAAATTGTAAACAGGTAAATGAGTAGATGAGCGAATGAATGGTTGGAGATAGCGATGATCTTCATGAGTAAGAAATTAAAAAAAAAAGAAAAAATAAGTGTGTAAACAAACATGTTATATCAAGCAAACAAAAAAAATTGAAATTTATTTAAGAAATGAGAACGAGAGAGAGTGAGAAATCACTGTGAACACTAAATCTGTTGTTAAAGAAAGTTGAGAAATTTAGAAAGATTGAGTCAGTAAATAAATATTCCAACCGCAAATTACCAAGTAAAAAATAGAAGTTAAACTCAAATAATGATAATGCACACAAACATAACAAACGCACTCACACCTCACACAAACACGCACACACAGAAACCAACACATGCACATCCACACATATGCACACAAACGTTAACACGCACATACACAAACATACTGACACGCACACAAACGCAAACACATCATCATCAACGACAACAAAACAGAAAGCGGTCAGATCGAATTTGAAGAGTTCTGCGTCCTCCTGGCTCAGCGCATGGAAGGCGAGGACAAGGAGGAACATTTGAGGGCCGCATTCCGTACCTTCGATCAGGATAACAGTGGGAAGATATCCGCACAGGAACTGCGTCAAGTTAGTGGGATTAGGATGATGACGACGACGACGACGACGATGAGGATGACTGTGGTGGTGGTTGTGATAGTAATAATTATAATTAGGAAAAAAGTTAATCAACAATAAGTTGAAATATCTATAATGAAATGGAATATTTTTTTTAGAGAAAAAATTTGAAAAGAATTAATTAAAAACGCACAAAAAATTGCAATTTGAATGTTTTGAAGAAAAAACTTTTCATATAATAAAATGTTTAGGCTTGGAAAAAGTAGGAAAATGAAGAAAAAAAACAATTTATAAAAACAGAAAGATATAAAATAAATTGAACAAAACTAAATAAGATATTCATGGCGGAGTTGTTATTAGTGAAGAATACTGCACTAGCTGGTTGCATTGAATTGGAGTGAAGCGTTTGAAAATGCAACAATGTAGATAAATAAATAAATATTTCCTTTATGGAAAGAAGTTATTAATGTTTTCAAAAAAATTAATGACAAAATACAAAATTTTATTGTTTTTTCATGTCAGTATGAACATACAGGTTGAAGAGAATGAATGAATTCATTGAAGTATTGGTGAAATGATACATGGATGAACGTTAAACAGACAAATGAACATCAAATAAAACGAATTAAAAAATTTATCTGGCTAAATAGATAAACCAAATTATAATACTGAATCAAATTATTTAAACATACAAACATTCAGCATGAAACTAAATATAAAAATTATTATGATTCTTGTTTGCATTACTCATTAGCAAATTTGCAACATTTGGTTCAATGTATGTATGGTCATATTTGTTTGTCCGTCAGTCTGTCTGCTTTCTGTCTTTCTGTCTTTCTGTATGTTTGTCTGTTTTAGTATTTCTATTACTATTGGCATTCAAATAAACGTTCAACAAAGGACGGAAAGCTTGAACCTACTGAATAACGAACACTTGACGATCGTTCGAAGATACAACACTGGTATTTGAAATAAAGAGATCTTGGAAGTTAAAACATCGGTGTTGGTTGTAACGAGCATCAAAATGTTACCACAATACTTTGTATACGTTTGGGTTATATATGTACAGTACACACATTTTAAAAAATAAGTTTTGTTCATATTGAATATTATCTTGAACTAATGTTTCAAAGCAAACATATATTACATTTGTTTAGCTGCATCAATCAATCAATCAATCAACTACATTTATATAGCGCAATTTCAAAAGTGCATTACATCGCATACACTCGCGTACACACTTGCATGCACTCGAATGCAAGTGTGTACCTTCACTAACTCGCAGTGGTTCAGCCGGGAATTTTTTTACCGGTGGGTATGAACTCAAAAAAAAACACGAAAACTGACCCATTTTTAGCTTTTATTAAAAGTTTTTATACAATTTTTGAATTTAAACAAATGTGTTTTGGATTGAAATTAAGCAAATGTTATTGTTGTTTAAAAGAGCTAACACGGTTTTCAGTCAATTTTCATACAGCGAGTTGTTTAATTTAATCTTTTTTAATCCTAACCCAATTTTCCAAAGGCTCCTCTCAGCTTAACCCCGGTCTATGGTGCGTATTTTTGCATTTTGAAATTGTGGGAACGTATTTTTATACTGATGATTGTCTGTACGAGTTGTTGAGTCTTGTTAATGTTTGGTAATTTTTGCTTTTTAAAAACTTCATTTTATCAAATTTCAACACGTTTTTCTGTACTTCGTGTTTGCATAGGTATCAAACGAAACGTCAATGATGTATTGGCAATTTAAATTCCCAATTAAAACCTTTTAAAAAGTTAAAACTCTAATAATAATAATTAATTTTTAAATACTGACGATGAAGAATTTAAGTCCAAAACTCAAAAAACGATTGAATGTTATTGTTTTTCTAATGCGTGTAAAGTTTCAAAACTTTTTAATCTTCATTCTGCACCAGATTTAATCCTTATTCATTTTTTCTGAAAAACCTTGATAATTTTTTTTGTTATTTTTAGATTTCATAATCTTCATAAAATAAAATCAAATTTTTTGCATGAGTTTTTAACCATCAACCATCGCACGCATTAGATGCTACAATATGGTTATTTCCTCACATAGGCTCTTCATGTAAACTAACTAAATAAACATTTTCACAATCAATTAACATTCATTTAAATTATTTAACGTCAATTTTTTTAAATTATTAACAAATTAAATTTACCAATTAAACAGATTTTATGTAACACATATTTAAAAAAACAAAACAATGTGGCTTGTTCAATTGGACTAGAGCAAATTGATGACGTATAGTTGGAGTTGGTTTGCAATTCAATTTAATTCATCCGGCAGATGGTCATTTTTGCTTTACAGAATTTCAAAATGACGTAATTTTTGTTTGCATTGCCCCGTGATCAAGTGGATTTTCAAAAATAGTTGACAGTTTGAAATGTCAAGTGACTGCAATGAAGAGACATTGAAATTGAATAAATCTATCAATTACTTTCATGAGAATACATTTTTACAACAAAAATTTGTTTTATCGATATTTGTATCATGCGTATTGAAAAAGTTAAGGCCAATTTAGAAAATAGTGTAAAACCCAACCAAATCAATATTTCACTTTTATCAGCATCTACAATTTTTAAGTTTAATCATTAAAAGTTAATAAAGTTAAATCTCAAAAGTTAACTTGAACACGTGAACATGCGAACATGTGAACATGCAAACATGTGAACATGATTTAGTCCTTTTAATAACATTGACACGATGATGCAAGGTTGCGTCATATTTCTCATATTTCAGAAGTTTGATGACACGCAGGATGTTGTTCACTCATGAAGTTTGCCTCCATCCACACTTCCACGGAAACGCGAACACACAAACATGCTGCTGAACAAACATACGTCCATGCATGCATGCATGCATGCACACAACCGTGCATGCATATATGCAAAATACACATATAAACATACAACTATTCATTTTGTTTGACATTTACGCAGTCATATTAAAGTAATTTTCATCAATACAACCACAAAACGTGGAATCCAACATGCACGTGCAAAAGAATAACTGTCCATATAAACACATAGCCGTAGTGATACAGAAATAGGCGTTCTAAGAGAGAGAGAGAGAGAGAGAGAGAGAGAGAGAGAGAGAGAGAGATAAACAGAGGTACAAACACAAACAGACACATGAACAGTGAGAGGTACGTAGCTATATGCTGGCAGATAAATAATGTTTAATTGCAAGGCATCGATGTTCCAGTTGCAGTTTTATTAACAGCACATACGTACGTACGTACTCTGCAGTCATCCGCTTTCGTTCTTATTTTCTTTTAAATGTGTCCGCCGTTTATTCCATTTGTGTCTGTCTGTTTTTGTGCGTCTGTTTGTCTAACTTTAAGTCTGTCTTTGTATCCGTTCTGTTTGATGTTTATTGCTGTTTAAATAATCTTCTCCTCATGTATTTTGTTTTGGTTGCAAGAGATTTAAAATGGTCGTTGATAAATTTTTTCATTATAATCCATACTTTATTGTCTTCCATTCATCGTGCCTTCTCCTATGCGATTAATTTTCTGTTTTTAACGAGTTTTATTTTGATTTTTTTTTAAATGTTAAATATTGATTGATTTGTTCCATTCTATTTTCTGCGCAACTCAAACTTTGTTAGATTAATTATACTAAAATCTCTTTTTAAACTCTTCGATGGAAAGCTTTTCACTTGAATACATCTTCATTCGACTGCAAGCAAGCATACAAAAACAATCTATACATCATGGCTGTTGTATGTGTGTTGCTCGCAAACTTCTTTGCATGTGTCTGCGTGTATGTGTACGTATGTGAGCGTGTGTGTCTATATGTGTGTATGTATGTGTGTGTGTGGATAGGTATACGTATGTGTGCATATGTGCGTGCGTGTTGGTGCGCCAACGTTTATAATTGCAAGTGAACACAGGTGTTTATAAAGACCCAAAATCAATAAAGAATAAAAATAATTTAATGAATAAATATATAATTAATTACAAGCATGTACATTGTACACGCATCAAGTATATATTTATATACACATACATAAATACACACGTGTATACGTTGATATGTATACGCCTGTATGTATGAACCAGTGTAGAAGCGTACAATGCCTTCCTTATCTACAGAACAATGTTTGGTCTCCAGTGTCAGATCATTGAATGCATCAGCCAGCCTGCATATACGCACGTATGTGCTTCTGTACACATGTGTGTACGTTGTTTTTACATATACAACTGTACAATTTTCGTATTGCGTCTGCGTGTATGTATTTTTGTGTGTACGGCATATACACAGTGCTGTATAAACAAATATTTTTACGTAGGTTTGTATGTATATTGCGTGTACACTTTTGTACACTCGGTTTCTTAATTTCTTCATATGTATGCATCATTACTATGTGACTGCGACGAAATTTTTGATGAGAAGATGATGAGGACGTAAAGCTGATGATGACGACAACGGTTATGATGATGGTAATGATGATGAATGATGATGATAATAATAATAAAGATATAATAATAAAAATAACAATTGTAATGATGATGACGATGATGGTGATGCTGATTTTAAGAACTACTGTGATGTTATTGGTATTGGGTTTAGAGGGAGGGGGCAGAGACAAGGACTGAATTTGTTTTATAAGTCATCAAAACTCATTGTCTTCAAGGAAAGAGTACTTTTCATGGCAAAGAATGGGCTTGATAAGTAAAAAAGGTCGTCATCGTACTTGTGACAATTCTTCAACAACCTTTATAGCCCCCCGCCAAAGCTTTGGCCTCGCCTGGTCGACATTGAAACTTTTTCCAACTTCTTCCCTCGGTCAACGTAGAAACATTTTCCAAATTTAGGCCCCCTTCCGTTAAAGTTATCTAGATCCGTCAATGCTTGCTTGCGATGATGGCGACAAAATTTTTAAATAAAATGCGGATGGGTTGATATTGATGGTTGCACCTATGATGATGGTGACGATGATGATGAGGTTGACGATGACGATGATGATGACTATAAAAATGATGTTAATTACGTCACGAATGACGAGAATAATAATGTGAAAGTCATTAGAGACTATAAGAATAATGAAGGCAGTGATAATGACGACGACGATGACGATGAAGCGAAGGTGGTAATCATCATCATCAACATTATAACACGCAGTTGCTGAAGATGATGATGACTGCAATGATGATGAAGATGTTGATGATGGGTGATCATTGTGATGGTGATAATCGTGGTGAAGATAACGATGACAATGATGGCTGTAATTATGATGATGAGAAGGATAATGATGGCCATGATAACGGCGACGACGACGACGATGATGATGATGACAGATGGTTACATTAGCGGTCAGTTTGTCATTTAACGTTAAAACGTTCCGTTGTCACGTTTGCAAGCTGGAAATTGAACATCGGGTAGCATTACAGGACGTTAATGACATCACTGATGACGTCATCAATGACATCACCACCATCACATCAACATTGTTGTCGTCATTAATGCCATTATAGTTTTGCATTTTTGTTATTTTTGCTAGCAACTTTTATTGTCGGTTTACTCAAACACACATATGAAAAAATGTTTTTTTGATTTTGAAAATATTGCAAATACGATACTGCTAAAAAGCTGCAATCGATTTGTTGTGGTATGAATGAACGAACGAACGAACGAACGAACGAACGAACGAACGAACGAACGAACGAACGAATGAATGAATGAATAAACGAATGAAAGAAAAATGAATAAATAACTGGAAGAAGGAATGAACAGGTGAATGAATGATTGATCAAACATATATTTGTATAACAAAACAACATGCAAGTGGTTATTGTATAACAACAAATTTGTATTTGTACAAAAAATACAAACTGACTAGTGACTATCTTTAAATGAACGTTGGATAAAATATGATACAAAAACAACCTCTGTCTAGCTGTTTTTATTTCGTTTCTAATACAAACAAAATGTTGGACGCACTAAACTGAAAAGCACTGTGCTGCACATAATAACATGGAGCTGATTGAATGGAAATTTAGAAACCTGTCGATGTGCCAGCAACATATTTAAAAGTATTAATTAATTAAATAATTAATTGATCAATTAATTAATTAATTAATTATATAGGTTGTTCGACTACTAAAAGAACAGCCATTAGAAAAATAATTTATAATACCATTGATTTAACCAACATTAGAATCATTTCAACAGCAACAAAATTCTTCACAACATTAAGAACAAAAACAAAAACAACAACAACAACAACAACAACAACAATGGTAGAAGACAGACATATTTTCCGCCATTAGTGCTGCTTGCAAGCGCCGATTAATCAGCCGGTAACATGCGAGGATTGATCTGGAAAGCGTTTCAAATTTGTATTTAAACTCTTCAATCGGTCAATTATCGATTATTTGCGCTGCATCACCGTGTAATGAATGTGACGTATTCGATTTTGAATATTCGAACGAATATTTCGCTACATTTTCAAAAGGGCAAAAAATGATATGTATTCAGTTTGTAAGAAACAATTTTAAAATCATGCTTAACAATCAATGTATGAAATCTATTTTCAAACAAAAAAACAAAATTGTGCAAAGTACGTAAAAAGGGAGTGATTCAACAATTTTTTTTAACTTAAAGATATGTAAATATCAGATTGATTCATTAAAACTGTTTGGCAGTTTGAAATATCTATCAGACACAGGTTAACAAACACACATACTGAAACATATTTACATATTAATGCTCGCTTACACACAAACCAACACATACACAAATCACTCTCACCCACATTCACACACTCACTCACAAACACACTCACTCACACACACACACACACACACAAACAGGTGATGATCAACCTCGGTGAGAAGTTGACAGACCAAGAGATCCAAGAGATGATCGACGAAGCTGATTGTGACGGTGATGGACAGATCAACTATGAAGGTTTCCTCCTTCATTTTCTACACTACGCGCGAGTGTGCCCGTACACGCACACATAAGCACATACACACATACACGCATACATACAAATACACAAATATTCACGAGTAAGTACCTGCGTAAAAACACAGCCACTACACATAGGTAACGATATAAGCGAACGTGCACACACACAAGCCAAAAAGTTATTGACACGTGTATAAATACACCAATTTATGTACAAATGTTCATAAACATGTGATAACACACAGGTAAATTATTTTTGAAAATATTTTAGAAGTGTCACGTACAAACACCATGCATTCATGCATCCATCCTTCCATGCACACATACATGCATGCATCCATGTACTGCACATATTTATTCAATAAGCCCAGACACATAAAATAATATAATAACATGAATACTTACTCGAAGCTAATTTGGCGGATTTACAAGTTTTGGTGTCATAGAAATCCACACGCACAGGCAAGCACAAATGCACACACACAGACTCACACACACACAGCATAAGTTCACGGATGCTCACACACGCATAAACACACGACATTGAAAAACACGCACACGAACAAACATACGCATTGATGACGTTGCGTACAAAGTAGCTAGGAGCCATAGAGAGGAGAAATGCACTTTAAATTAATTTCTGCGGGGATGTGATGTGGGGACCGCTACATGGAAAATAATTTCTCGTGCTTGCTTGGTTGTTGTTGTTTGCTGAAATGATGGAATGTATGTCTGTGTCTGTCTGCATGTGTCTGTGTGTTTTTGTGTGTGCTGCTTTATGCATGCGTCTGTGTGCGAGTCTATACAAAATAAACCTAATTTGAAAAATAATTCATTTGTTTTTAAACAATGTATAAAAAGTAGGAACATCTAATTCATCAAATTAATTTAAAAGTAAGTTCGACGGAGAATTGAAAAATTATTGAAATTTGTATAACTTTGTAAATTTCAGAAGATGCCAGAAGCCAGTTTTTGTTAACAGCGGAGTTCATTTAAAGTTTTCAATATTTGACTTTATCAGAATTGTTCATTAAAAGACAAAAGTGAATTTTCAGAACCTAATAACATTTAATAAAGGTTTGAAATTAACATAAGATAACTTATGCACTCTCCGTCAAGAAATTTAAAAAACTGTCAAAGACAGTTCTGTTAATAAAATGTTTTCCGGTCATAAATTGATAAGAACGCGTTTTGGACAACAATTTAAAAAGCATACAGAAATACAAATACTAATTATTTAATAATTTAATGAGTTAAAAATTTGGAAATATTTCTGATTGCAGAGTTTGTGAAGATGATGGTCGGCAAGTCGTGAAGAGATGCGCCTGACTGAACCTAAACAACATCCAGTCACTCCTACCATCGCTTATTAATACTCTTCATCATCATCGCCATCATCTTCATCATCACTCAAAATTACATCTTCATCGTCGTCATTTTTGCCATCACTCATCCTTGTTATCGGCTGCAACATCAGTTTCATTATCATTTCGTGCTCCCCGTCAACTTTCATTTAATCATCTTAGCCGTCAACCGGAAGAACATCTTGAAACATCATTGTCAATATCATTTTAATTTAATTACGTCATTATCTCAATCCTTATCACTATTATCATCTTAATCATTTCATCGTCATCTTTACTATCATCAGCCAACTATTTAAACGCTGTCACAGTGGCAACTTTCGTCAGAGGTTTCATCATTTTGACATCGCCTGACCACGCACCGCAGTCTTCATTGTATTAACGTCATCATTGATGTAGGTAATCATTACCCTCGTCATCATCATCACCATCATCATCATCATCACCATTATCGTCTCCATCGTCATCATCACCATCATCATCATCACCATTACCGTCTCCATTATCATCATCACCGTCATCGTTATTAATGTTCGCCTCTATATTTTCAACATTTATGTCTTAAAATATTTTAAACTACAATCTTCATTAACATTTAGAAGTGTATTAATGAAATTTCATTACCAGCACAATTTTTAAATCATTTATTCATTTAATTTTTTATAATGATTTATTCATTCATTCACTCAATTATCAAGTTTATAATTAATTATTAATGTCGTCATGCATCTTACATTCAATTAACTATTAATTTTCAAGAGTATTCATTCCTTTTTTTCGAATCATTCCCAAAATTATCCATCCATCCATCTTCTCACACTTTCAACCTGTCAATCCATCTGTTCATTCCTTCAATTTTCACCCATCTATTATTCAATTAGTTTCAAACTATCTTCTTTCACTCCTTCATTTATTCATTAAATTTAAACGTAACGGTATCTTGAAATTTTGTTTTGCCATTTTTAAATTTAGCGACATATTTTAATATATAAAACTCTATAAGTTTTATGTGTATATATATATATATATATATATATATATATATATATATATATATATATATATGGAAAAAATTTTATTCACTTTTTTAATTTCACATAAAACTTTGTTGATAGCTTCAACATCTTTCATTAGCATAGAAACACGAAGACATGAAATCATAGATACAGAAGTGCGTGTGTGTACGTGCGTGTGTGTGTGTACGTGCGTGCGTGTGTGTCCATGCGTAATTACCATTCATGATGATGTATTATTGCTGAAAACAATGTGATTTTTAAAGGAAAAAATATTGGCAGACCTAACTACTTGTGCGTGTAATGTTTGTAGTCAGTCCTGAACACGCGAATACGAAGCATGATTGTTTTACATGTTATATACATAAGCTTATGTTCACGTACATCATATATACATTGTACTGTATATACAATATACTATATATGCATGTATATTTATATATATATAAGTGTGTGTGTATACATTGTACTATATATACACAATACTATATATATACATGTATATTGATATATATATATAAGTGTGTTTGTGTGTGTTTGTGTACTCTTCATGTAAACCACATTAGCACATTATCCAGCTATATAGCATCAATTATGGTCTTCTTCCGGTCCATATATATATTTATATATATATATCCAATAAGAGTACGTATATATATATATATATATATATATATATATATATACAATAAGTATGTGAAGTATAAATTTACGCATAAGCGATTACTGTTATGTTACAATCAGAAGTATAAAATATAAAATTTTAAAGTTTTAAATTATCGTCGCGTAGTTTTTAATCAATTACTTTTTATCTTCACATCATCTCAATATTACAATATACTGCTTTCTGTTTTTTTATTTATGGTGGAAACAAATTTGCTCAATTTTCAATATTAACATTTCAAAGATCTTTTATTCCAGTTTGAAAATTAGATTTATATCTCTTAAATAGGAGCCATTCGTTCGTTCATTCGCTAACTTATTCATCCATCCATCCATTCACTTTTTTGTTCATTCATTTATCCATTTGTTTGTTCATTCCTCTATTCATTCATTAGTTGATAATTTGCTGTTATTCGTTAAATGCTACATGATTTCATTTTATTATACGTATAACCTCTTCAACGTCATTATTCATCATCAGAGTTTTCTATTTCTCGAATCTTCTCACAATTCCAACATTTTATAACTAACGTTTCATAGAGATTCATACAAATCAATGAATAGATCTTTCTTGTTATTTTTTTTCTCTTCGGATTTTATCTTATTAAAACTAGTGAATGAAAAAGTTTATTTTACTGAATAAAACTTCAAGAAACTCAGTCGTCAGTGTGTGGTTTTAAATTTACTGTCAAATTTGACCGTTAAAACCGCAGAGGAAATGTCAAAAATCCGGAAAATACAAAATAAGATTGGAGAAAATTAATGTCCTGTCTTGTTAAATAAAACAATTTTGACAATAATAGTTTTCTCTGAAAATAATAATTCAGTTGATATTAATGTTTGTGACGCTGAAGTAATTATAATACACGTTAAAGTATTTGATAAATACAGCATTTGTCATCGTTATTTAATAATTTGTCATCATCAGAGAAATTATTTATAAATCATCGTCATTAATACATTCAACTTGATAAATATATACTAGATACATACGCCGTCATCATTATTCCATTATCCTAAAAATGTTTCATTGAGAAGGAAGTTGTTATAATTATTATTATCATAAAATTTGTCACTGTAAGAAACCAAAACTACACGTTATGACCTTCCTGATGCAATACATTTATTTCATCAACACCCACATATATTTAAATAAGGGGGGTATTATATATCCAACAGGGCCAGATCAATAGATGGGTAGGCTCTGGAGCAACGAAGAAATGGAGGAGGACCCCGACCTGGTTTATAGAAAAAAGTTATGTAAAAAACCTTCACCCAACTTTACATTCTTTTTTTATTCCACATTTTTTAACAATTTCTTCATTAAAACTGGTCTTTTTAACCAATATTTTAAGGTAAAATTGTTAAGGTTGCATTGTATTTCATGTGGGAGTCCCTATTTGGAGAAGGCCACGTTGTAGTAGCTCTATATACCTCGAGGCAGTAGCACACCTACATACCCTGCTTTAAATTTGGTCCTGAATTTATTCACGATCATTAGATACTCGTTGTTACATAATTAGTCATTCCAAAAGAGTAAATCTTAACTGAGCGGAATCCCCAACATTCAAAAAAGTAATCCATAAATTCATAGTTCGAGTAAATAAATGTTAATTAAATAATTTTTTTTCTTTTTAGAAAAAAAAATTGTTTACTTTACATTTATTATCGTAGCTATGACAACATTTCATCTTTAAAAGGATGTCATAAGAAATGTGTCACCGTGAGAAAATATCCATTAATCATTATATTAGCATCACAAATGTCAGCCATGAAATAATTTGAAATAATGATTATACTGGTTAGAATCACTGATAGAAGCTATTTTAAATGGATGATTTCAGTTACAAATATCTAATGTTTTTCGTAAACGCACGAGAAAAAGTTTCACATTGAAAAATTAAATGTTAGGGAAAAAATTGAAAATTGTTAAAACTAGTAATGAAAACTGTGATATTGAAACGTGAATAAAAAATAATATGTTACTAAAATCACATTTGGTATATGAAAAAGGCTTGAATGACGTTGGAAGGTTTTATAAATGGTTTTCATTTTATGAAATATTAAACATTTTATTCGAAAAAAAAATATTCATCGTAGTATAATGGAAAAATTTAAAAATGTAGAAAAAAGAAAAATAAATCAGCGAATTAAATCTTTTAGAAGAATCCCGCAGTATTGATGGCAGAAATAAATAATAATTAGGGAGATTTTGAAGAAATAGTAAATGTTTGGAGTGAAAATATGGAGACAGAGAATTTTAGGAGACGAACATCAGACTAAGCAAACCCATAGCAATGAATGAATTTGTAGGGTTCCGTATATAATTCATTTTAGTTGGATGCGAAATAATAAAAGGATATTTTGTAGAAAAAAACCGTTTGTTATTTGAATTCAATCAATAAAACATAGATTAAGATTTTATTAATGAAAAACTGAAATTTATCAAAATTAAAATGCAAAAATGACACAGAATACCGATAACAAAAAGGAACAAATTAAAAATATCATCATTGATTGTGTCAAAAATATTCCCGACTTTCACTAATCAATCTCATCATAGCCATTTATTGGATCAAAATTTGGATTAATTAAACTGGCGCCAGGGTGCTTCTTCAGGTACTCCAGTTCGAGTTGCTCTTTGACCTCTTGTAGTGTTCTCATACCTTTTTTGTTCATGAACTCCTTCTTGTAGAACTCTAACTTGAAATTATTAATTTTTTGAGATTTTGTGAACGTTTAATAATTTAACGTCATTCCGACATCAATTAATAACAATTTGATTCAAATTTATTAAAGTATTAAATTGAATTTTCAGAAATGTATTATTCATTTTAAATGGCTATAATTATATCCATGTTTTGTAAGCATTTTCATTCATTTTCAGTAGCATCATCCTTCTAACCTAACTTTCCACATGACCACATATAAAATGGAGTTGTAATTAAGAAAGTACAGGAAGCCACATGAAAACTTGCCTTAAGTTAACATAAGCACATAAAAAAAAGACAAAATAACAAATGAAAACAAGAACATGATAAAAGATGTTTTGAACAGTAATATAACAATGAAAACAAAAAATATAATAGAAAAATGATCAATGATTTGGCAGTAAATAGGCCAACAAACAAACAAACAAAACAAACAAACAAACAAACAAACCAACAAACAAACAAACCAACAAACAAACAAACAGACAAACAGACAGACAAACAGACACAGAAAGACAGACGGACAAACAAACAAACATACAAATTAAATTCTATCACCTGTTCTTGAGTATTATTCAATTCTTCTTGGAGTTTTAGTTTTTCATCTTTAACCTTTGAAATAAATAATTTAAAAAAAATGAAAATAAACGTAGCCAACAACAAAACTAGACTCAGTTGTAATGTTAAATACAAAAGTGTTAATATATATATATATTTAAATGTAATGATTATTGTCAAATTATCAATTAATCTTATATAGACAAATAATTAAAAATTGACTTTGTAAAGATGACTATCAAACTACCTTTGCATGGGTTATTAATAAATTGTTGTACGCCTGTTGTAGTTTCTCGATCATCTCCGTTTCTGAATTTTTTTCTATATTTGTTTTCTTCATTGACGTCAATATTTTATTTTCTTCTTCTAGTTTTTGACATCGGTCTTTTAACTTGAATTGGAATCAATAATTTGTAATGATTATGAAATAATTAATCATTTTATATGGGAATATCATCTACAATCTATGACATCTACTATGTGATCAACAATTACTGAATAATTGCTAACAATTTCATTGCTAAAAATGATTAGCAACGTAAAAGTAATCCAACATAAAAAATTATTTTAATCATTTTTGAAGTTTGAATGAATTTTGATTTAAATTTGAAATTTAAACTAAATTAACATTAAAAATAAATATAATTATTAAATATATAAATATATTATTGAACTGAGGCACACCAACTACCCTACAGCTACCTGCTACACCCTCAAAGTATATAAATTTCTTAGTAATTTGGTTTTTTAGTGTTTATACTTTTATAGTAACTTAAGCAAACTGCTAAAGCTAAACTAAAAACAAAACTACATTAAACTGAAACATTAGATTAGTTTAGAAGTCATAACACCAATTGACTACCAGTTATTCAACTTCTTATTTAACTACTCATAAAATATAAAATAAATAAATCATCATTCAACTCTACCTGTACCAGTTCCTTTTCTTTTTCAAGGAGAATTTGTTTCAAAAAAATCACTTCACCCATTTTAAATATTTATAAAATTAAAAAAAATTAAGTCGGAGAAGTTTACTTATTTATTGGAAAGAAAAACGAAAAAATTACAATCATCTAATTAAAACCACTTGGACTATATTTTTAGTTTTTGTACTTATATATATATATATATATATATATATATATACTATATACTACGACAACAACTACATGTAGATAGTGTAAAAGTGAACGTTGTTGGCTGTCATGGATATTATATATCCAGTCATGGATATTATAAATCCATGGTTGTTGGTTGGTTAATAACGTAAATTAAATATAATAAATATTGAACCATCCATATATAGAAAGTATATACACACAAACACACACCATCATATATAAATAGATATTGAACATATCATATATACTCTATACATATGAGAACCATATAAAAAAAACTTATAAAATCATATGCTTAGAATATATATTAATCATAATCAATCCTCGTTTATAGTCTCCATCAGTTAAGGGTCGGACTTATACTTAGAATATATATATATATATATATATATATATATATATATATATATATATATATATATATATATATAAACTATTTCATCGTAACAAAATTAGCTTTACTTTTTTAAATTACTTATAATATCATATACTTATAATATATATATATATATATATATATATATATATATGTATAAAAACAATTTTATAGCAACAAAAATTAGTTTTACTTTTTTAATGAATTGTTTCAATTTTTCGAAAAGCAATAGAATAATTCATTGTTTATTTACTGTTTAATTCATGATCACACACTTAAATACAAATTAAATTAATTGGAAAACAAACATTTATGACGTAACATGTTCATTAAAAAACACTCGACGCGACAGCTGAAAGCTTTATCGTCGCTTTATAGCATTTTTAATACAATGTTGTAACGACCCAGTGAACAATGAAAGATGGAACAGTATTATAATACAAAATAGTTTTATTGCTGTCTAAAAATTATGTTCGAATTAAACAATTCATAATTATATATAAAATACCACATAGAAGCAAAAACATTCAAATATGTAAAAGTAAAAACTTAGCTAGTGCTACAATTAGCCACATTGTAAGCATAAATCATAAAGACCTATCTAGCCAGCAACGATCGATTAATATTATTATAAATACACCAATCTTAGTTTGAAAAAAATAATAAAAAATTGAAAAAATTATATAAATTTCCATAAGTTATAATAAAAATTTATTTAAAATTTCAACGTATGAACAAATTAAAACACATATGAATGTTTAGCAAATGCTTGTGTCATTTTTTTGTTTGGGCACATGTTTTTCTTACAAGCATTTATTTTAGTTACAAAGTTAAAGTCACATTTAGTTAATTTTTGTAGATATTTGACTAATCTGTAAATCTTGTGCATCAATTTGTTGGTTTTCTTTGAAGTTTTCAACACTGGTATTATTTTCTTTCAAAACTTTGACGGAATTTTTGTTTTTCCAGCATTTCTTTAGCATTGAGTAGACCAGTTCTATGATCTCCACGCCATTGGCAACAGTTATTCCTAGCCAAAGGGAAAACATTCCTCCCACTGTTCCTATCATCATATCCCACTTGTACACGGGACCCTCCGATTGATAATAAGGAAAGTTTTGCTTCATTACAAACTTTATAAGAAGAAAAGAATTTCGAATTTGCGTCAAGTTGGAATCAAAAAATTCAACATTTTGGTTGCGGGCATACTCTTCTGAAAATTTTAAATAGTTATCGTATCTTGCCCTCACTTTAGGATAATTTTTAAAACAATCGGTTTCAATTAAAAATTTCTTGAATATGTCAAGTTCCAAAGAAGGTTGAGGCCATCTTGCAGATGTCAGGTAAGAATCGTAGTCGGATTCCGAACATGATAATTGGCATTCATTCACACAACTTTCATCTAGTTCAATCAGGTGATCTAAATGGTTTACGGAACAAATCAATCTAGAAAGGGAATCATATGTTGTATCATTTTTAGTTGCATCTGTAGTAGTTTCGCCAAGACTGAAATTGCCACACAACTCCGTATTATCAGATTCAGGCACGTTCAGCAGATGTGTCATGCATCCACATTCCTCCGAGATTTTGTGTTGCTGGCAGTATTCAATGCACAAATCTGATGAATAATTACCCGAGTTGGAATAGGGCATTGCTTCTTTGTTAGTACATCCCATTCTGTGTTTAATTATTTTACAAGATTGTTCAGTAACAAGTTTACTAGAAATTATATAGCAAAAATATATTTACAATGTTCAATAGAAATAACGTAAACAATAATGTACATACATATTATAGGGTTCATCCAAACGCAAAGTTTTTGTCTGAACGATTTCCACTATGTTTTCAGTGCCATGAGCGACATTGAAGCCACGTTTGAGGTCAGGGGGAGTGCCAGCACTGTGCACACTCACCTGCACTCCTCTAGCTTGAGAACTTGTGAGTGAATGCCGGAAGGGTAACTGAATGAAATTTGGCGGGCCTATGTTAAGTAACAAACTTATACCCCTCATCACATTGAAGTTGGTCAGTTTTAAGTTGTCCACTTTCAACGTATAGCAAGTATAATAATCTATATTCCAAACTCTTGTGAAATTATCGACAGAACATGCTTCTTTAGCTTCAAACCAATCCGTTCCAAACAACGTGCAGTCAACGATGAAATCCGGACAATCAACAGATTTTGGTCGATTTTTTTTTAAATTCATTATATAACCTGACAATGAATCGAGTTCTTCCAAAATGTCACTTACATATTTCATTTCCATGTTATATTCTGTAGACAGTTTTATTATATTTTCAAATTGATCATTTTTAGTTGAGTTCACAAAAGACAAGTAATCCTTCATACTCAACTCTTCTGGTTCGCCTTCTGCAAAAATATCTAAATTGCAAACTGTTATGTCAGGAAATGACATAGTTTGTTTCCTCTTTGCGTTGACGTTTCAAAAAAATGTAATTAATTAATTTATTATTTGAAGATTTTTTCACAAAAATCTATATCAACGTTCAAAATTTACAAATCATCGATATCTTAATTTCACGACCTACATTACTAGATTTTAAAGATCGCTCATTTCTGACAATTTGTAATAACTACAAAAATTATTCAAATTAATTTCATTGTTAAACATCGTAAAATATAGACATACATTTTCTCCGTATTTCGTGGTCACCGGCCAGGAATAATAATTGGTGAACAACCTTTGAAGCAGGTAGGCCAACAAAACAGTTGACGCCAAGAAGAAAAGAAACCAGAGTCCTTTGAGAAAGATATCCTTGGACTTTAAAATCTTTGGTATCCCTTTTATTGACGTGTTCTCTCCATATTTCACAAGTTCAGATTTTATTACAGAAAGCATTTTTTTAATTTTGGCTTTGATGTATCTTTAAAAATTGTTATTGAACATCAAATTTTAATTTTCTGTTTTTTTGAATATTTTCAATATTGGATTTTTGTTGAAATGTGCTGTAAGAGAATAACATTCACTCAGAAAAATATCCTATTGCTGGTTTGATAGCTTGTTAAAAGTGTGTTTTAAGCAATTGAACTCTGGGTTTGCGAAAATGTTAAGACATTTTTAATTACCTTTAAACAATTTGGTATTCAATAATTTAGTAAAATATTAACAGAAAAAAATTTCTTACTTTTAGATTTTATTGTCGAAGGACGTTGTGGATGCACTTTGTTTGAAAACATGAACTGGATTCCTCTTGCAGATTACAAAATTTGTTACGTAATAATTTATTTATTTAAAAGCTGAAATTTTTCAAATAATTTACATTGATAATTAGATCTTGATCGAAAGTAAAATTTAGAAACATTTCAGCCTATGTTCTGATTGAAACTAATGTCAAGATAAATTGCAGTCAAACAAACCCAGGCACACATTTTATGTATATAAAACATGTGTATACATATGTATTGTATATGTATTATATATATATGTGTATATATATATACATACTGCATTATTTGTTTGATAGATAAAATCGAATCTTCCATTTAAACGGTTAATGCGCGCGTATTGATAAACGAAACAATGGCCGCCATATTGGCATGGAATTAATAATTCAGTGGAATTCGTTTGTTAAGGCCATTCAATTTATCTTATGGCACAATGGATTGTCAGACTCCATTAGTCAGTCGGCAAAACTTTATTCTCTAACGTTTTTAAATTTTGATAATTCAGAAATGTTTGGTACGGTATAGGTGCACTTGCAGACTTGAATAGTATTGTAACGTTTCCAGGAAATTGTAAACTAGGATTACCTCTTTGTAACCAGCCCACCATTATGCACCTTGGTAACCTTATTGACGCCACACATTCATTCCATTTCATACAGCGAACATATCCTTTGACAGGCCAATATCGATTACCAATAATTATTATCTAATGACGCAAATACTTTCAAGTCAATGTTAATTTCAAGTGCTATAGTTCAATTGTTGCTATGTTGAAGTTGCATTGTTTCATGTCGGGCTCTGTTGTTACTATTCAAAAAGGACATAAATTTGTTTGATTTAAAATTGGTTGATGAACCTAAAAAAGTTTACAAAATTATTTTAACACACAAAATTATTTCAACATACAGAGTGAATGTTTAAACATGTTTTGCCTTACTGTTTTTCCATGTATTTAGTAATCATTAATTTGAATAACACATTTGTTGATAAATTGTAAGGTTATTTGGTGTTTTGTTGATAGTTAGGGGTATAGCGAATTTGATATTTGGTATTTTTTATTATAGTTCAAAAATAAATCTTAAGATTTTTGCTATCATGGTGTGAATAGTTGAAACGGCATCACATTTTGCATGCAAACGATTACCTATTGAAATTAATTGATATAATTCCTAACGAAAAATGAAAATGAAACAGAATATCGCCTACTAAAAATCTTGTATAATAGTAAAAGTTGATTTAGTTTCATTTATTCTTTATTCTATCTGACGGATATGGTTTAAATAGAAAAGACTAGGTCAATTCAGATGAATTTTCGGGTAGAAATTAATTATTTTATTAACTACAGCATCAAAAGATGATGGCATAATTAATAAGGAGTTTAATGATCGTTGAGAACAAATGAACAAATATTAAAATTATAAAATATTAATTATATTGTCAAATTTAAAGGTATGCCAAGATTTCTTTTTGTTCAGACATCTAAATCTTATCGTAACCATAAATAGGATAGCTCCAGTAGGAAGCTCCAACTTCCATGACATGTGGGAAGGTCAACCAGCTTCTTGCATCTTTCAGTTCACACTGACATCCACCGCCGACTGATGGTCGCATGTTGAAGCCAGCACAAATCCACTTCTTTGCACACAACGACATGCAGTACAATTTCGAACATCTGTTCTGCACTACCTGCAAGCTCTCGCCGAGTGTGTAACTGTTTTCCAGGCGTTTCAGAGCTCTTTTTTGTAAGAAAACTGCGTTGAAATGTAATAAAATAACAATAAATTAATAATATAATTTTGAAACTCTTTTCAACAAATAGTAAGTAATTAATGACAATTAAATTAAATCGCACGTGAAAGAGAATTGGTAGAAAGCTTTATTCCTAATTAGTTCAAATTACGTCATTCTATAAATCTTATTCGCCATCCTTAAAAATGATCAGATTGTTTCATAATATTCACTAAAAAATAATTAATTAATGTTTATAACTTCTATGTCTAATAAACGGATTATATAGAAAATATAAACAAAACATACACTGCATGGTCACGGGCTTCTTGCATATATAATAATAGTTGGATGTGTTGCATGGTTTATCTCGCCACATGCCATTTTCAATTATTCTTGTACAGCAGGCATCTTCGTTCGGCTCACCAATAGAAAAATCCCAACTGAAAAAATTGAAATCAGATCCGTCAAGCCAATAGTTGTGTTGATCACTCTTGTTGCAATGTAAGCGGTACATTCCAATCCAGTAGTTCATGGTTAGGTTTATACTTGGAAAGAATTTTCTGGCGGGTTTGAATATTTGTTCCACTTTCAAATTTTACAAAATTAGTTTGATTGTAAAGGTTCAAATTATTTGTGCAGCGATATGTTTATGTCTAAATATTTTTTTATTTCCAGCTTTTTAAAATAAAATATTTTTTGCAATAGCTAATTATAAGTATATCTTAAAAAACATTAGGTCACAAGATTCATTGCTACTTTCAGAAATTGCCAATTTGGATAGATTCATTGATTTAATAGTTAAACTTGTAATTAATAAATTATTTAAAAATGCATATATTAACGAGTATATATCAAGAAAATTATTCTCCGAAAGAAGGAAATTATTTTCTCCCCAAGACTCGATGCTGGCCAACAAACTATCCATGCTTTGACAATTCCTCAGCGCTTCTTCAAAGTTGATCACTGAGAAAGAGGAAAAATAATAACATGACTGATCGAAGATTTTCCAGTCTACTCCAGGGCACCCATCTGTTGATTGTGTATGTGTGTGTTTGTTTGTTTGTTTGTGTGTTTGTTTGTTTGTTTGTGTGTGTTGTTATTTATTAGTTTGTCTTAGTACAGTGTAAGTTATTGTAAATAAATAATATTTTTCATCAAGTTTTGATATAATTTATAAAACAAATATTTAAATAAATACAAATTTATGATCTGCTACTGTGATACACCATTAACGATTTTGAAAACGTCATAGAAACCAGGTCTTAAAAGGGAGGGGTCTTAAATGGGGAGGAAGCATGTTTACAACCAAATAATTAAAGGTGCACAAGATGTGTACATTACTATGTCAAGTTCCAAAGAAGGCTGAGGCCATCTTGCAGATGTCAGATAAGAATCGTAGTCGGATTCCGAACATGGTAATTGGCATTCATTCACACGACTTTCATCTAGCTCATTCAGGTGATCTAAATGATTTACGAAACAAACCAATCTAGAAAGAGTGCACAAGATGTATACATTACTCGTTAAAAAAGTCCAGTTTCGTCAGCATTAAGAATGTTTTCAGGAGCATAGCCTTTACAAATGACTGGCATTCTCTTTGTCCAATCCTCTACCGTTTCCTCAGATTCTCTACTCTGTCTCCGGAAAGAACAGACGATTGAATGTTGTGACGTTTCATCCACTTATACAGCCATCCGTTAAATGGCGTAAATTCATTGTGCCCAAGAACCACAGCCTCAGTAGCCGCCTTTTCTTGGATCATGCGACCACTGATAGGCAAATTTCGACGTCGACTATCGCAAAACCGCGTTAAAACAAGTCGTATATTTCACCTTTTAATGATAATTTTTGTGTTTTTTTAAGGCCGTTGGTCGGGTTTTGGAGGGAGTCGTAGTCGTGAAGCTTAATATGAAAACAATCCGTCAGAAACAAAATGGTCGGGAAAGAGAGAGAGAGAGAGAGAGTCGTAAATGGGGAGATCGTTGAGGGGGGGGGGGAGTATTACTGTACTACTAACTTGCTCTCAAATACCAGACATTATTTACAACCGCCAATAATACAAACAAGATGTCAACGGAAATATTCATAATGACAATTAATTTTGGAAAATATGACTACGTGTTTGACTGCAACTTCTTATATTCAGTTATTTTTAGCTTGAAAAAATATTGTCAACTTACAAAATTTTTCGATTTTCAATTGATTTTTTTGACGAAAATTTTCATTTTTCAAATTTTCAATCAGACATTTTATTCATTATTATCAAACTGAATGGAAGAAAATGGAATTGTACAATGCAAAATGATAGCACGTGGATCAATGTTAGTGGGATTTCACAATTTTTTCATTTTCCACTAAACTTTCCTAATGCAAAATATTCCTAATGCAAACAAAATGCACACGTAGGTCTTTTTTAAATCAGAATTTGAATTAATAATATTTTACTATCAACTAATTCATTTCGATATTTTTGAGTTTCTTCTACGAATTAAAGCTTTTTTTTAAATTTGATTAAATTTCAATTCACTCCTAACCTTTCACGAAGACGACAATCATCGGAAGGACAAAATTTCAGAACAAAATATTTTTGAGCTAACAAATTTTTTTCTCGTTCATCGGTAATTTTGCTTTTTTAATTAAATCTTTGTTCTTGTATTGCTGTATCGAATGTTCAGAGACACGCTAATTACCAGTCGGCCAAAGGAAATAATACACGTCTGTTCAATACTCATTTGTCATCGTCTGTTTGATTCTTTTATCAGCCATCTCTCCCACTAATGCATTTTTACAAAGCTGATGTGGTGAGAATTTATTTTGCAAATATTTTCAATTTGTGAATCAATTTATTTTCTGGTGTTATTATATTATTGTATCATTATGTATCTATATGGATAATATCTTATCTGTTATTATATCAATCTTAAATCTATATATAACAAATTTTAAAAAATCTATCTTCTATTTTCTATGTCCTATCTAATCTTCTATTATTATTATTATTATTATTATTATTATTATTATTATTATCATTATTGATAATTGTGTTAGAATGAACAATTTGTGAACGGTGGCCTGCGACACAAGAATTTTGTTTTCTTTTAGCTTTGGTCTCCTAATCATTACCTAATTATTATTAATTTGGATTGATTGAATAAAATTTGATTTGATTATTATTATTATTATTATTATTATAAATTAAGTTACTTAATTTATTACAATAAAATAAATTTTTTCAATGTAAGATTTAATTTTTTTTTGTTGAACAAAAAAATAAATGAAAAAATTTTTTTTTAAAAACACGTTTGAAGCAGAATGTCGCAGAAAAGTATGGAAACTATCTCCATTTAACCACAGAGGAACTCCAATTGTCACGAACACCTACTGAATGTTTGTGAAAAAAATAATTTCAAAATCTACAAGCAGGAGTTCTGGTCGGCTGTTATGTAGGGAGCTGCCGTTATATCTTAGTCGTTCGACAAGCCACAAAGTTATTTATTGATTGCGTGTCTGGCTGGTAATTTGATTACACCACCAAGACACTCATGCCTGTGGGAGTGTTAGTCTTGCGACTTCGGATCTAGCCAGCATAAGAAATTAGTGACAAATTCATTTTTGAATGTTTAAAAGGTAATTTACAAACTTGCGTACAGGCTACTAATACACCTAATCACTTAATAATAAGTGATAATTATTTATAACAATGTACATTTCATATGCTAATGTTCAATTGATTTCTTGATGAAAAAATCTTTTTTTACTGACTGACAAATGATTTCTTCCTTGCAAACTCTTTAAAAAAATTTTCATTCTACTTTATTTGTACTGTTGAGTAAGTGCTATATATGAACAGCCGAATCAGCGGTTTATTGTGATTGTGATTTCTCGATTGCCTGTCTGCTGTGTGTGACTGAAACTTTTAACTGACGCTTTGGTCGGTCATTTTGATTTGTTTATTCCTCGATTAAGTTACTGGAAACGCTACTAAAAAAATGTTCAACAAAACGAGCATTGTTAGGATGTAGTTCACAACTTTATTCCATTAATTATGTTTAAGCATGTTTTAGCAGCCCCAGTGTTGGTGATGCTGTGAAAGTAGCTGTTGAAGCTGCGTGGTAGTTGCGTTATTTCTATAAAATATACATGTATAAGGAACAATTCAAATGTTTGAGGTGGTAATAATTAGAAATAGTTACAATAAATAGCAATAGTTGTGCAACTAAATATCTTGCCATTAAACCTGCATTACAGAAGATTGTACGTACATCATCAATGTTTGCTCATCTTATTAATTTCCTACTTCGCTTGTTAACAAACACGCGTTGGAATTAGTATTTGCTCTGATGATCACTACAAATTAATATCACAATTTACTCACTCGCTCACTCACTACGACGATGTAATGATAAGCGATGATAGCTATGACAAGTATGATGATGATGATGACAGACGTATCGGTAACAAAATCATTCCAGATTATTAAATGGATCAAACTTTTTATTTCAAACAAAGCTCTGCGACTTATCAATAACTTGTTTCGCTAATAAACTTGGTGCCGCATGGTTGAATGGCGCATTTTTTATCCTTTGCAGTAGTACTTAAAAAATCACATTTTGTGATTTTGTGGTCTTTATCTGATGCTGTAAACAACTTAAGATTAAGTAGTAACGAATTTTAAAATTTTATTATTTATATATTGAAGTAAGCTGAGCTTTTGTGAACACGTTTGATTTTAAATATGAACATGTTTATTTTGGCGTTCTTGTATACACTAATTTATTTCAAACAGAAAGTTCTCAAATACAGTATTTTATTCCAACTCAAATTTATTTAATCTTAATTTGCTGGGAAAACACAAAATTGTTCTACTGTCAACACAAACAAAATGAAACAATGAATAGGAATGGACTCGATGTCTAGATAGCTACCACGAAAACGACGCAAATGAAATGAAACAAAGAGTGGATAGAAGTTTGGTGGATTATTATTGATTGGTTATTTATTGGCTGCATTTAATGATAGGATCAATATTTTCTCAACATTCAATATTAAACATTGTATCCAACAAACTAAACCAAAAATTAGACACATTAAAAACAATGTCCAAAAAGTTTCACATTATTCAAACTGATAAAACCAGAAAAATCATTTTCAGTATGCTGCAATACATGCAACGAAATTTAATACAAATACTGGCAATCTGTAACGTTACTTAAACACTCTGTGAAATCCACTCCCTATAAATTAACTGTAGCAGCTTAGCACACAATGCATTGGTTCATTTGTTTAAAAGCTCCACTCGGTAAGACATGATGAAGGAGTGATCTTACATTTTTCCAAAATCGGATGATGGCGAGAAGTACTTGACCAAAGTGCAATCAACATTAATTTTCTCTCTTCTGCTCTCTATTCTATCTCTATTCTGCTCACATACACACACACACGAACATACGCACACATACACACACATACACACACACACGCACGCATGCAAACACACACAAAATGTAAACTTAGATATCTTCAATATATTCCTTTTATATGCCTGCATAAAAAATTTAAACAAATGCCTCTATTGTGCAGATGAGCAAATAAACACGTGAGTAGTTATTAACATAATTAAATTTAAAAAAAATGTATATGCGGGTTACAATTAGCATAATTTATTCATAAATTTATTCAACGTTCTTCCTCGAGTAGGTTGTGCACCTCTTCCAGCGGAGTTCTTCCATCGTTCATCATGATGGCTCGCATGGAGTGGTGGTGGTGGTGGTGGGTGCGGGGCAGGCAGGCCGAGTACACCTGAATGGTGTTGGTTATTGTTGTTATTGGTGAATTCATCAAATTAGGAAATTCTCTTCAGAACCTACGTTAACAACAACATGCATGCAAATCCACGTTTCACTGATGGGGCAGGCATTGCAATCGCAATAAATCTTAATAAATATCTTTCAAGAGAAATTTGTGTTGTCGGCATGAGTCTGAGCTGAATGATTAAGCTTAATTGATGCTAAGTGGTCAGTTAATTGGTTGACCATTACAAAAGCTTACCGTAACATTAACGTGATGACGTGTAAATTGAAAACGTTCTAAAAACGCTTACACCTGGGTATGCAATATTGGCTATATAATGGTCAGGGTGATATAGAATTGTGAAAGAAATGATGAGATGATGACGACGATGACGATGGTGACAAAAGTATAAAAATTTATGGTGATGACGATTTATGACATTTGCTCATTTTGAATGAAAATTTAAATGAAATATATATAAATTTCAGAGTTAAAGTTTGGGATTTAATTGGATTAAAAAATCATTTTTATCTTGATAAATTTTTGCAAAAATTTAATTTAAATTTAATTTTTTGAAAATTTCATTAAGTATTTAATTTGTTATATGTTTTAAATGACATTAATGCAAAAAAAGAAAAAAAGTTAAAAAAAAATTACAAAATCTCAACAATACAAACAAAACTACACAATTAGAAACATGGTAAAAAACACTCCAGATAGGCGAATCAAAAAAAAAATAGAAAAAACAACAAAACTAACCGTTTTTTTGTTTTTAACGAGAATGTAGATGGAGCCGAGAAGAGATAATGTCAGTGATGTCCAACAAAATACCTTGATAAGCCAATGATCTAATGAAAACGTGTGTATGTGTGTGTGTGAGAGAGAGAGAGAGAGAGAGAGAGAGAGAGAGAGAGAGAGAAAGAGAGTGTGTGACGTCTGCATTCATATTATCATCATCCTCTCTTTCTTAATCACCATCAATTACTTTGTTATTACATTATTATCATCGTATTGGAAGAAATGTTAAAAAGGATGCGTTTGCGCGTGCGCGTTTTTACAGTGTGTGCTTTTATGCGTACGTGTGTTATCGAACTGGTAAATATTAAGACGACGATTTTGATGGTGAATAAAAAAAAACGAAGAGATGATGAAACCAATGAAGATGATGATGAAACCAATGAAGTTGATGGTAAAAATGCCAGCAAAGATTATGAAAACTTCTGCAAAGATGTTGATGATAAACGATGATAATGAATAAGGATGAGAAAAGTGAAGGCGATATCAATGAGAATCGCGACATTAATATATTTATTGGACGTGTTCTATATGTGTTTGGTGTGTGTGTATGTGTGTGTGTATGTCTGTGGTGTGTATATACATAATGTTTCGTATGAAAGTATTTGTTGCATTTACGTTGTATGTCTTTTAAAATTGTATGATTGATAAGGCGCCGTTCGGACAGTCTGGTTGATTGGGATACTTGATTGAATGGTTGACCTTTCCTGTTTGGTTAAATATTTCAGTGCTCCACTGCTTGTTTCCGTAGTTGATGGATCACTTCCTCAGTCTTCTAGAATTCTCTTTCGTTATTTTTTGTTGTTTTGTTTGTTTGTTTGAGCTGTTTCTGTCTATCGCGATTTGGTTTCTCTTACTGTTTCCTTTATTTTTCAATTATTTGAGATGATTGATTCTATGTAGATGTTGCAACATTTAAATGGCCGATTTAAACTTATATGAAAAACTACACAACAACACAAACAACAACACAAACGGCAACAAATTTAACGACACTCAAACAAACAAAACAGAAACCTCTCAAACAGACAATCAACACGCAAGCAACAACAAAAACAACAACATCAAACTGACTGGAATCAACGACTCCTTTTAAATAATAATTTTACTGTTGTAAAGAAAATCTTCCTTCCTCTCCACCGATATCTTTTCAATTTTACTTTTTTACATTTGTTATCAAATTAATCCTAAGAAGTAAGGTCGCAAAGGTTTTTCAATTTTATTATTGTTTTTATTTTTAATTGTGCTATTACATCTTACATAAAAAAAACAATCCCGAATGAAAACACTTTCTAATAAAAATAACTTTTAAAAGTTTTTCTTAGTCAGAGCTTCATATTTTTTTCATGAAAAATTCTCCCCAATCTCTGTCCTTCCCTTATCTTATCTTTTATTTCTTCTTAATTTTATTGATGTATGTGAATTGATTTTCTGAGAACAGGCAAGAAACACACACACATGCACAAAACCACATCATACCACGAGAGAGAAAGAGAGAGGAAGAGAGAGAGAGAGAAAGAGGGAGAGAGAGAGAGAGAGAGGGGGGTGGGGAGAGAGTAAAAAACACATCACACTAACTTAGCGCCTACCTTTTTAAAATAAGCATCACATTTCCAAGCGTGCACACTTACGAACACCTATACAAACACGCATACACATACAGTACACATAAAGACACAGACACACACATGTACACACACATGAAAACACATAAACGACGTAAAAAAAATTCAGGAGACTATTTATTTGCACAGAAGGCAGACTCGCGCGTACACACACATATACACACATGCATAAACACATAAACACATGCACATAAACACACACACACACGCACACAGAAAACACGTAAAAACGCACAATGGGATATTTATTTGTTTTCATAAGAAGCATTTTATTTATTGAATGCCTAAGTATCACGTGACGATCAGCTGATTAATTAGATGAGCGTGCACCCACCACAGCGAAGATGGCGCCGATAGTAGCTGTTTATGGAATGAACTTCACCTCTCCTTGTTTGTTGCTGCTGCTGCTGGTTGCTCTTCACGGAAGTGATGATACCCAAGAGTGCGATGATGATGACAATGACGAAGAAGATGATGATGATAATATCAATGATGATGTTGATGATGATGAAAATGTTGTTGTTGTTGATGACGATGACGATGTGACGATGTTGTTGATGGTGGTGAAATTTTAATGTAGCGGTAGATAATTTGTATTGTTTATCTGGTAACTGGATGTGAGTGTGGAATGGAAGTGGATGTGATCGTTTGTTTGTTCTGGCCTGCAAAAAATTTATAATGGCAAAAATTGCTGTTGTAACTTGAAAAGTTTGGTTACATGGATGAAGGAAAATAAAAAAAAAATCATTATATAAAAAAGTGGAAAAGCATAAAAAAATACAACATACCAGGTACAAACAATAACATGTAACAACAACAACAAACAACAACAACAAACAATAACAACAAAATTAGCACACGTATTACCACAATTTTTTAACAACAATTTCATAAAACGAGAAAAAAAACGAACGTTTTATAACAAAAATAATGGTGAATTATTAAATAAATATATGAGCTTTCTGGGGCTTGGTTTTGTTTCTTTCTTCACGTTTCGCTACGCCAAGTTACGCAAGTTGCTTGCGCGTGGTTCGCATATTTAATCAGCTCGGCAACTCCAATGATAAAAGCAAGACGATTGTTAATTTCGCTGGCGTTTGCATGTTGGCTTGCGTATCTCTTTCTCTCTCTCTCTCTTCTCTCTCTCTCTCTCTCTCTCTCTACCCATGTGTGTGTGTGCACGCGCGTCAGTGTGTGTGAATAAAATAGGTGTTTGTGTTCATTAGTGAATGTTTTTATTCTGTTTTAGAATGTTTCCGCTCCTCTCAGTTTCTTATTGATTTGCTTTTTCGTCATTCGAAGTTTTCGCGTGCTGCTGGGTTTCGTTTTGCTCCTTTGGTTTTATGGCGAATGCTTGCATTAGTATTGTTTGGAGTGTTTGTGGGCGCGCTCCTTTATGTCTGATTTGTATCTGGTTAACAATAATAAAACATAAACATAATAAAAATATAAATAATATAAACCCTTTTATGAAATGATGCTGGATAAATATGTTTGCACGTAGGTTTCATTTCGCTGCGATTGTTGCTGGTATTTTGACAGTGTTGCTACTAATATTTTCGTTTGTGTGGGTGTATATATGTAAATATGTATGTATGTATGTATGTATGTATGTATGTATGTATGTATGTATGTATGTATGTATGTATGTATGTATGTATGTATGTATGCGATAGTTTGCCGGTGGTGATCTGGGGGCTGAACTCCCCAGTTCTACAAAATGCCACCAAAGGCTTGCAGCGTGCGCGCTACGACCATCGAAGTCCTACTCCTTCCTGCACGTGGCGGGGGCTGCTACTAACTAACAGGAGAGGGCGAAGGCGAGTTACTGGCGCCTAAACCAGGTTCCGGGCGGATGGCGCTCGTAAGGAAATACCATCTAGGAGAAGAAAAACTCTGATTTCAAACCTCCGCAGCCTTGCGGCTAAACCCACGCTTGGGAAAGGCCTGGGAGTAAACCCAGTTAAAAATCTAGCCAGGATAGTTGGCTACGAGGATAAAACTGCACCGCAGTTTCATCCAAACTTCTGCGTCCACACTGGTCGCTCGGCGTGTCTCAACTCGTTGTGCCTGCTGATACCGACCCCTGTGGAAGAGAGAGTGTAGCATGCCGCACAAACATGCTCCACTTAAATCAACCAGTGTGAAGGTGGTCTTGGTGGTCTGATGCTTGAATGGATGTGCAAACAAAGTCCTGCGGCGATTGGCGGGTGGCGACGGGCACAGGTAGTGAGTACTACTGGCAGTGTCTAGTCACAACACAACACACAGGCGGCCTTGGTGTGATGGTCGTTTGTTGCTGATGGCTACAGCAATTTTCGTATTCTGCCAGGGTGACAAAGCAGCCCTATTAAGCATAGGGACTAGTTCAACGATCAGAATACGGAGGCACGTGGGCTGCTGGACAACATGCACAGCACCCATCGTTCTTGGATAGATGACAAGGGCAACTGCGTCAAGAAAGCATGCTACACGCAAGCACGCAGTTTTGCACAGAGGAGGCTTCGTCAGATGAAGGAATCTTGGTGGTCTGCCAGAGCTGATGAATTGCAAGTAGTGGCCGGCCGCGGGGACATGAAATCATTTTACAGAAATCTGAAAACTGTGTTTGGTCCCCGCAGCTCCGGTAGTGTCCCGGTACTGTCTAAAGATGGTCAAACACTCATCAAGGATGGCCATGGAATCCTGGCTCGTTGGGCTGAACACTTCAACAGTGTGCTAAATCAAGAATCCCGGTTTGATGACTCAGTCCTTGCTGAGTTGCCTGACTGGAGCATTGCAAATGATCTTGATGATCCCCCTAGCCTGTCTGAAATGAAAAAAGCAATCACCCAAATGTCAAATGGAAAAGCTCCGGGTTTGGACGGGCTGCCGGCAAAACTCTTCAAATGTGGTGTCATCGAACTTAAAACCAGGATGGTGACAATGTTCCAAGACATGTGGGATAGGAAATCGGTTCCTCAAGATTTTAAGGATGCCCTTATCATTCACATATTCAAACGGAAAGGGAATCGCTCATGCTGTGATGATCACAGAGGCATTTCTCTGCTATCGATTCCTGGAAAAATATTGGCCCGCGTGATCGTCAACCGCCTAACCAAGTACGTCAATGATGTTGGTATCCTTCCAGAGGGTCAGTGTGGCCTTCGGGCTGGTCGTGGTACTATGGATATGGTTTTTACTGCCAGACAACTTCAAGAAAAATGTCGTGAGCAACAACGCGAACTTTTCTTCGTCTTCATAGATTTAACAAAGGCGTTCGATTCCGTCAACCGTTCAGCGTTATGGAAATGTCTCAAAAAGATCGGTTGTCCTCCGATTTTAGTGTCGATTATTCGCTCCTTCCATAAAGGCATGAGGGCAACCGTAGTTGAAAATAGTGATCGATCCCCGGACTTTGAGGTGACGAATGGTACCAAACAGGGGTGTGTCATGGCTCCCTTGCTGTTCAACATTTACTTCTCCCTAATGCTTCGAGTAGCCTTTCAACATTGTGTAGAGGGCATTCCAATCTGCTATAGCATGGATGGAGACGTTTTCAACATCAGACGCCTACAAGCGAAGTCAAAAACACAAACCACAATAGTCCGCGACCTGCTCTTTGCGGATGACTGCGCTTTGGTTGCACATACACAAAGTGAAGTTCAGGCTCTGTTCAACTGTTTCCACACTACTGCAGAAAAGTTTGGACTCACGGTGAGCAGGAAGAAAACAGAGGTTCTGCACCAAAGCTATCCTATTTCGTCGGATTCTAAAGCCATCGTAACTATTGGTGGCTCGCAGTTGAACGCTGTGGATCGATTTTGCTACCTTGGTAGCTACCTCTCCAACACTACTGCAATCGATGATGAAATTACGGTTAGGATTGCCAAGGCTGGTGCTGCGTTTGGTGGTTTGAGTGGACGACTCTGGAAGGAACGGGGTGTGTCGCTGGCAACTAAAATATCTGTCTATAAGGCAGTTGTGTTAACCACAATGTTGTATGGATGTGAGACGGATTACTTATAGGCGCCATATACGTAGACTCGATCAGTTTCATATGAGATGTCTACGGGTTATCGCTAACGTTAAATGGGAGGATAGGGTGCTAAATACGACTGTATTGGAAATGTGTGGTATCTTGGGTATTGAGGCATTTTTGTTACAGGCACAGTTTCGTTGGGCGGGACACGTTATCCACATGCCGGACACAAGAATTCCCAAACAGGTGTTTTTCGGACAGCTGGCTTCTGGAGTTTGACTTGCAAGCGGTCCAGTTTGCAGATTTAAAGATAATCTGAAGGAAAACCTAAAAAAAGTCGGACTGGATTCTAAAACCTTGGGTGTCGTTGCGCTCGAGCGTTCACAGTGGAAGACACGCTCACAAGCGGCAGTTTCCGCCTTTGAGGAGGCGCGCATTGCAGCTCTAGTTGGAAAAAGAATACGGCGTAAGCAGGTGGCCCGGGATGGTAACAGCACAGGGGTGTGGGTTTGCGGATCCTGTGGTCGTCGATGTTCATCAAGAACAGGCTTGTTCTCGCATCAAAGGACTCATCAATGACACAATTCGTTGAACGCGACGATGTATTCCATATGTGTGTATGTATATATGTATGGATGGATGTATGTATGTATGTATGTATGTATGTATGTATGTATGTATGTATATTTGTGTTGATGTGTATGTATGTATTTATGCATGTTTGTGTTCATGTGTATGCATGTTTGTTTGATTGTGCCTATGTTCGTATTAAAACACTGGGTGCTGTCTATTTCAGCTCTCTGAAGTGATTTTTTTCCTTCTCTTGAACATACCTCTCTTAAACCTGCTCTTAATTGGGATGGAAGTAATTTACTTGAAATTTAATTAAATGCGATATCAACGTCTTCATCGTCATCTTTGTTGACGTCATTTTTTTTTATTTTCTGCTTTCATCACTTCCCTTAAGATAATTTCTTCATCGTCACCATCGCCATCATCGTCATCCCCATCGTCGTCGTCATCGTCATCATTATCAACGTCGTCATCATCGTTATCGTCATCATCACCATCATCATTGCGTCGTTAAAATGATGAACTTGATGGAGATCATCATCAACGTCATCGTCATTATCATCAGAGTCGGGATTTTCAGGTAATGTAAAAATATAATCACTCGAAGGTTTTTTAAATTAAATTGTAAACCTTCCTGAGCTTCCGTGTTGTTGTTGACGTTGGCTGTGTTGTTGTTGATGTTGATGCTACTGATGTTGTTGTTTATGCTGTTGATGTTGTTGTTGTTGTTAATGTAATAATCAAATGTATCGAGTGTGATATTGTCCATGTTGTTGATGTTGAGATTGTTGTTGCTGTAATAAAATACGTTGTTGTTGTTGGGATTGTTGTTGGGATTGTTGTTGTTGGGATTGTTGTTGCTGGGATTGTTGTTGGAATTTTTGTTGTTGTTGGGATTGTTGTTGTTGTTGTTGTTGGGATTGTTGTTGATGTTAGCGCCACCATCACCGTTTGATGTAGCGTACATTTCGTCGAACAGGTAATCATTTTTTAGTCGATAGATGTCAGCGTCGTCGTCATCGCTGACGTCATCAATGACGTTGTTGACACTGTTGTCGTTCCGCTCGTTGCCGTTATGAATTAAATGCGAATCACGAATAGATAAGCCGCTTGCCTCCGAGCCATTTGACAGCGAATCGTTTCGCGATAAGTTTTTGCTGATGTTGTTATTTGTGCTTTTGATTTTATTGTTGTTATTATTATAAATAATAATATTGTTGTTGTTTTTGTTGTTGTTGTTGAATTTTTTCGATAAGTAAGGTTGAGAGGTGGTCCTGACCAGAATTTTACTCTTGTAGATATTTCTGCTGGTGTAATTTGTTTCGTTATTGTTTGTATTGTTGCTGATGTTATTGTTGTTGTTGATGTTATTGCCGTTGTTGTTGATGTTAATGTTGTTGTTGTTAGTGGTGTTGTTGTTGTTGTTGTTGCTATCTAACAATAACGTATTTTGCCATACTGGGTCCGATAGATTGGCGCTAAAAAACGTTCTTACCTCAACATCACTACTATCATCCGCTTCATCATCATCATTACCGTCAACATCATTATCAAAATCCCCGTCATCATCATCATCATCATTTGTCAACATTTCAACATCTTCGCTATCATCACTTTCACCGTCGTTGATTTCAGAATTATCATTTATGATGCTATCATCGTCGTTATCATTGATTTTTGTGATACTGGTATTGTTGTTGATGTTGTTTTTGATGTTGTTGTTTATGTTGTTGTTTATGTTGTTGTAACTCATTTCCGCATCGTTCTTCTCTGTTTGATTGACATCGAAAGTTGAACTTTTGACCTCTTCAACAAAGATTTTATTCAAGTTGTTGTTGTTAGCGCTGTTGTCGGAGTTGTTATTGTTGACGTTATTAATGTTGTCGTTGTTGATATTACTATCAATGTCGTTGTTGTTTTGTTGTTGTTGATGATAGTGATGATGATGATGATGATGACGATGTCTGACGCTTTGAAATGTAACCCAGTGTATCATTTCTTGTCTCGTTGTTGTAAATGGCGGCATTAATGTTGTTGTTGTTGATGACGTTGCTAGCGACAAAGATGACGTCAAAGTTGCTTTTGTTGTGGCTGTGGTTGTAGTTAGTGTAACAGTTGCTGTAGAAGTATCATTGTAATGCCTGCTTCTTTTGTAAAAATAGCTCCTTTTATTAATTACTTTCTTTGTGTTTTGGTTGACATTGTCGTTGTTTACGGTGACGTCATTTTTCCGGCTGCCGTTATTTTTGTTGTGATTGTTGTTGCTGTACGTTTGGTCACATTTCTTGTCTGTGTTGTTGTTTTTGTAATTGTTTTCGTTGTTTATGTTGTAGTTGTTTGTGAGATAGTTGCTATTGTTTTTGTTATTGCTATCTTCGTTGATGATGTCATCAGTAGTTATGTTGTTTTTGTTGTTGGTGACTTTGTTAACGACGTAGCTGTTACAATATTTGTTGGTCTGCGTGTTGGTACCGTTGTTAACATTAGTTTTTTTGTCAACTTCATTAATGTTGTTGATGTTGCCGGTGCAGTTGATGTAGTTGTTGATGTTTTTGTTGACGTTAATAATATCGTTGTTGGTGTTATTGGTGTTATTGTTGATGTTGTTCTGTGCAGCATGACTTAATTTTGAATTCAAACCATGCTTAAGCATAAAACCTGTTTCAATAAGGCGCTTACTGATATGTGCCTCGTTTAGCGCCATGCTGTCATTGTTGTTGTTGATAATTTTGTTGTTGTTGTTGTTGTTCCTTATGATGTTGTTGTTGTTGATGCGAATGATGTTGTTGGTAACGTTAATGTTGTTTTTGTTGTTGCCCCTGGTGATGTTTCTGTTGATGTTGTTGCTGTGTTTGTTGCTATTTGTGGTAGGATTAATGTCGTTGTGGTTGTAGTTGGTAACGTTGCAGTTGCTGCCACTGCTGCTGATTTTATTGTTGTTATGAGTAATTTTAATGTTACTGTCATTGTTGTTGTTGTTGTTGTTGATGATGTCCAGTTTATTGACAAACCTAAGTGGCAATATGGGAGATGCAAGAGAAAAACTAATAATAGTTAAAGAACCCGCAGTAGTAGTAGCAGTAGCAGTAGAAGTAGTAGTAGTAGTAGTGGTAGTGGTAGCAGCAATTGTATTTGTAATAATATTTGCAACTGTAGTATAGATAATAGAAACAGTTGTAATAATAATAGAAGTTGAATAGGTAGTGGTAATACTTAGTGTTGTTGTTATGGTAAATGTTGTTGTTTTTGTAGCAGTGGTAAGACTACTAAAACGTGTGGTGTAAGTAGTAGCGTAAGTCGCGATTGATGTCTTTGTCGTAGAAGTAACCGTGGTCGTGACGCGAAAGGCAAGTTCATTAATAATGAACGTAATTGAAGTAGTTTTAGCCATAGTGGGTTTATGACTAATGGCCATGTTGCTGTTGTTTATTTTATGGTCGGCATTGTTGATGTTGTTGCTGCCATGGATGTTGTTGCGATTGTCGTTGTTTACGTTAGTGGAAAGTCTATTGTTGTTGATGTAGTTGATGTAGTTAATTTGGTAGGTGGCGTTGCTAGGGCTGCTAATTTTGTTGTTGTTTGCGTAGTTGTAAATAATTTTTTCGTCCGAGAACCTGTCAAAATAATGATCCTCATCAGCATTCGCCATTTCAGACATGTTAACGACGTTGTAAAACTCCTTCTCCTCTTTTATATTCAGGTTCACTTTTCTGTCTGCATCCAAATCCTTTCCATTAATTTTCTTAACAGTCCTGCTTATACCATTGTTATTATCACCACCATTATCATCTTCATCATCATCGCTAGCACCGTATATAAATGTTTCTGCATTACTTTTATCTACTTCCACGGAGTTATCTTCTTCCTTTTTCGGTCGGATAATTCTACTTACTTCCGGCTGAGGTTTAATCGCGATGACCTCACCACCGCTGGTGGACTTGAATGCCATGTTACGAGCGATTGATTTCATGGCCGAATGAGGAAACGAATTGTTTGAATTTCCTGGCGCCTCGCTTCTCCAAATTGATGACGTCATTTTTGATGTTATTCTTGATGATGATGTTGTTGTTGCTGTTGTAAATGGTGATGGTGGTGGTAATGTTGATGGTGTTGAAGATGATGGTGGTGATGTTGTTGATGATGATGATGATGGTGGTAGTGATGTTGGTGGTGATGATGGTGATGATGTTGTGAATGTTGATTTGAATGTTGTTAGTGGTTTTAACATTTTTGGTGTTATTGCAGTTGGTGCTGATGATGATATTATATTTAATGTTGATAATGATAATGATGGTGATAAAAATGATGAAGATGATGATGAAGATGAAACAAACTGGAATGACGACGATGAGGTAGAAGATGTTGACGATGATTTTGATGAATATGGTGCTGATGCTGACGTCAGAGTAGATAATGTTAATAACAAAGTCGGGGATGATGACGACGATGTTGTTGTTGTTGAAGATGATGACGATGAAGATGTGT